GCCGCCGGCGCCTCCGCGGGCGCCGCCGGCGCCTCCGCCGGCTCCTCGGCCGCCCGCGCGCGCTTCGCCGGCGGCGCGCCCCCCCGCGCGCGCGCCGCCACGAGCCGCGCGAGGTCCGCGACGCGCCGCACGTCCGCCGGCGCCGCGTCGCAGCCGAAGGCGTCGTTGACGCGCCAGGCCGCCTCGACGGCGCCGAGGCTCGTGCCCCCGCGCCGCAGGAAGTCGTCGCCGTCGCCGGGCGCCAGCGCCGCGTAGAGCTCGCGGAGCCAGGCCTCGACGGCGGACACGTCGGCCGGCGCCGGCGGCGCGCCCGGGAGCCGCCGCGCCGGCGCGTCGAGGCCGCGCTTCGCCTCCGCGAGGCGCCGCAGCGCCGCGCGGTCGACCTTGCCCGCGGACCCGCGCGGCAGCGCGTCGAGGCGCACGACCTCCGACGGCCGCGCGGCCGCCGCGACCGCCGCGAGGTCGGGGGCGGCCCCGGGCCCCGCGAAGGCCACGAGCGCGCCGCGGCTCGCGTCGCCGCCGTCGACGAAGACGACGACGACGCCCGCGCCGAGCGCGGCCTCGACGGCGCGCGCGTCGACGCGCACGCCGCGCACGTTGACGACGTCGTCGACGCGCCCCAGGATCCGGAGCGCGCCGGTCGCGTCGTCGAACGCGCCGCGGTCGCCCGTCCGCGCCTGCGTGGAAATCAAATCTTCAACCCGACTTCAATGTGAGCGCATGCGACAGTTTTGGTGCGAGCTCTTCTGTCGTGCTTCGAGAACTCGATGAGAGCAATCGATTCGTCCAAAGATCAGCCGAATCGACTTCGATTTGACTGAGATAAAGAGTTCTGAAGTTTGGTGGGGACCCCCCAAACCAGCGGTCGATTTCCACGCAGGTCCGCGCGGCGCCGCCGGCGAAGCGCGGGCTCGCGACGATTGCCCCGCCGCGGGCGTAGCCGAGCGCGACGGCGGCGCCGGCGACCAAAACCTCGCCGCCGTCCAGGGAGACGCGGACGGCGGCCGTGAGCGGGAAGCCGACGGCGGGGTCGCCGCGGCCGCGCGGCGCCGCGCCCGGGCCGAGGAGCACGTGGAAGCAGGCGTCCGCGGCCGTCTCCGTGGAGCCCCAGACGTTGACGAGCGTCGCGCCGGGCGCGTGGCGCAAAAAGTCGTCGACGAGTGTCGCGCGCGTCGCCTCGCCCGAGACCGTCCAGAATTGTAAAGCGGGCAGCCGCTCTTCGAGCGTCGCGCCCGCCGCGTCGAGCGAGCGCAGGACGACGGCGAGGATCGACGGCGTGACGACGGCGCGCGTCGCCTTCGTCGCTTTGGCGGCGCGGACGAGGTCCCCGAGGTCCCCGCCGCAGCACGCGCCGGGCGCGCCCGCGAGCGCGGCTCCCAAGACCTCGGCGACGGAGTCGACGAACGTCGCGGGCGTCCGCAGGAGCATGGCGTCGTCATCACGCCAGGGGAAGCGGTCCCACTGCCATTTCAGGCGGTGCAGCGTCGCCTTCGCCGAGCCCGCGACGAATTTCGCGCCGCCGGTCGTCCCGGACGTCCGGAGCAGGTAAAGAGCGTCCGCGGGCCACGTGGCCGCGTCGGCGACGGCGTCGACGGCGAATGTGCCATCGACGACGCGGCAGCGGCACGCGGGCCGCGCGTCGTCGTCGGCCGCCGCCGCGCCGCCGTCGACGGGCACCCAGACCGCGCCGAGGCGCAGGCACGCGAGGCGGGAGACGACCTCGGACGCGCGGTCTGCGTTTGTCGTGTCGAAGACGACGCTCGCGCGCGCGCGCGCGCCCGCCGCCGACAGCTGCGCGCAGAGGGCCGCGCAGCGGCCCTCGAGCTCGCCGAAGGTGATCGCGGCGCCGTCGGGCTGCAGGAGCGCCGGCTTGTCGGCGTGGGACGCGAAGGCGTCTTCCAAGAGCGCTTGGAGCGCTTCCATGGCGGCGTTTTTTGCTAGCACACGATCCTTGTTTATGAGCTCATAGAGCTGCGATGTTGGATTGTTCGTCTAGCTAGCGTTTGCGCGGCATTTCCCTCCCATCGCATTTTGCCACTGATCGAGGTGTCGTTGCCGACGACGTTGACGACGTTGCTGCGAGATCGTTCGATCGACGCTGCTGGTCCTCTAGCTGTCGGGGGCACGCCGCGTCCTGGACCCCAAACCCCAGTCGTCGGCCTAAGGTGTCCACACAAGTCGCTCAAACGAACGATGGCCAGTGCCGACCCGGAGTGGTACGGCGACGACGCCGCGGCGGGCGGGTTCCAGGGCCCGGCGTTCGACGACCCGCCGCCGCCGCCCGCGGCGGGCGGGTTCCAGGGCCCGACGTTCGACGGTAGGCGCTTCGTGGCCGACGAGGAGCGGCGCGGCGGGCGGCGCGTGGAGGTGGAGATCGCGGACCGGCGCGTGGACCTCGAGATCGTCGCGCCGGCGGCGCCGCGGGAGATCGAGATCGCGGCGGTGTCGCGGTCGCGGTCGTCGACGGCCGAGGAGGGCGCGGACCCGGAGGACGCCGCGCCGGCGGCGGACCCGGAGCCCGAGGCGCCCGAGGCGCCCGAGGCGCCCGAGGAACCCGAGGAACCCGAGGCGCCCGAGTCCGCGCCGCCGCCGCCGCCGGGCGCGGCCGCGGCGAAGGCGCCGCCGGAGACGCCCGCGCCCAGGCCGCGGGACGCCGCGGCGCGGGCCGTCGCGGCCATCGCGTCGGAGCTCCAGTGCAGCATCTGCTGCTCGACGGCGGCGGCGTGCTGCGCGGCCGTGCCCTGCGGCCACGTCTTCTGCCGCGCGTGCCTCGCGCCCTGGCTCCGGCGGAAGCGGAGCTGCCCGAACTGCAACGCGCCCGTCGACGCGCGCGTGCCCTTCGTGGAGATCCGGGCGCTGGACAACGTCGTGTCGGCGCTCGTCGAGGCGTCGCCGCAGCTCGCCGCGCGCGACTCCGTCGACCGGCGCCGCGCGCGCGTCGCGGACGTCGATGTTTCCGACGGGCCGCCGGAGGCGGCGCCCGGGGGCTTCGTGACGGCGGCGGAGCTGCTCCGGCGCCGCGCGGGCGAGCCGGCGACGACGCGGCGCGAGACGTCGCGGTTCCTCGCGAGCGCGACGCCCGTGACCGCGCGGCCGCCGCGGCGCCGCGGCGGCCGCCGGCCGCCGCCCGTCGACGGCTCGTCGCCGATCATGCGGTCCGTCGCGGGCCTGGAGACGCCGAGCGACATCTCGCGCGCCGTCGACTCGCTCCGCGACCTCGACCTGCCGGGGTCGCGGGGCTCGCCCGCGCCGTCGGCTACTCGGCCGCCGCGCGCGCCCGCGAACACGCCCGCGCGGTCCTCGCCGTCGCCCGCCGCGACGCCCGCGTCGACGCCGCGGCGGCGCCTGTCGCTCGTCGACCGCCAGCGCCTCGCCGCGGAGCGCGGCGCGGAGCGGCGCGCGGCCGCGTCCCCCGCGTCGTCCGACGGCGCGCGGTGGCGCGCCTAAGGGACGCGGTCGACGCGGCGCGTCTCACAGCCCAGCCGGCGGGCCAGGTTATCGCGCGAGATTAGGGCTCCTCGAAGATGGCGCAGCCCGCGTCGAGCTGGAGGAGCGCGCGGTCGATGCGGTCCGCGTGCTTGGCGAAGGCCGCGAGGCGCTTCTTGTCGCCCGCGGACCACTGGGCCGTGGACGCGCCCTCCGGGTCGTCGAAGTCCTCGTCGACGAGGCCCTTGCCCTTGTCCTGGTACTCGAAGGCGCGCCGCGCGTAGAGCGCCGCCATGGCCGCGCGCGCGTCCGCGAGCGCGACGGCGTAGGCGTCCCGCGCCCGGACGGCCCAGAGGAAGACGTTGGCGCCGGGCTTGTCCGGCGCCTTGGCGACCTCCGCGAAGGTCACGAGGCCCGCGTCGAACATGCGGTAGAGCCGCTCGCGCGCGTCCTTGGGCGGCAGGAGCGCGCGCTCCGCGAGGTCGCCCTGCTCCAGCGCGTCGTGGCGCATGAGCACGCGGTGGAGCCGCGCGGATTCGGCGTCGTAGCGGTCCACGAGGAGCGCGTGGAGCGTCTCGCGGCGCACGTGGTCGAGGCACCGCGCGGCCTCGAAGAGGAACCGGTCGTCGCCGCGGCCGCCCGCGAGCTTGGACACGAAGGCGACCTGGTCGTACTGGAGCGCCTCGAGGTAGCGGGCGATCGTCGCCTTGTCGACGGCGGCGCCGGTCTTCCGCAATTCCGCGTGGATCTCGCCGACGCCGACGCCCCGCCGGTCCTCCGCGGCGCGCCGCCGGTCCGCGACGTCGGCCTCCGTCTCGCCGGCCTCGACGTCCGGCTCGAGGGACCCGTCGCCGCGCTGCCGCGGCCAGCGCACCGCCCGGAGCCCGAATAAAGCTTCCCCTATCCGCCGCATGACCGGGTTGAGCTTCCGGCCGACGAGCGACACGCAGGACTCGCGGAGCAGCGCGCGCCGCGCCTCGAAGGCGCCCGGCCGCCAGCAGCGGCCGTCGCCCGCGTCCTCGTCGCGGGGCCGCTTGCGGCCGTTGGGCCGGCCGTCGGCGGCGCCCCGCGCGGCTTTCAGGGACGCGGCCATGTCGCGCGCGAACCGGTCGCGCGCGTCGTCGGGCGTCCGCGGCGCGCTTCGCGCCTCCTCGGCCTCGAAGAGCGCCGCCGTCGGCGCCGCGCCGGCGTCGGACCCGAAGGCGGGCACGACGAGCGCGCGCGCCGCGAGCGCCTCTAAGGCTCGCTCCGCGCGGCCGCGGTGCTCCGCGCCGAGGCAAAGCGCGAGCGTCGCCGTAGACGCGACGCCGACGTCCATGAGGTGCTCGAGCACGGCCGCGGCGTCGTCGCCCGCGTCGCCGCGCGCCGCGGCGAGCGTCCGCGCGCGCCGCGGCACGGCGAGCACGGCGTCGGCGTCGAGGCGGTAGTCGTCGGGCCGCCGCCGCCGCGGCGCCTTCTTCCGCCCGTCGCCGGGCTGCGGCTCCGCCGCGCCGCCGGCGCGCGCGACGACGCAGCCGTGCTGCGCGAGCACGGCGAGGGCGAGCCGCGCCGACGGCCGGTGCTTCGCGTCGAGGAGGCGCTCCAGTTCCTTCAGCGACACGCCGTCGCAGCGCTTCAGCAAGATGTCGCCGACGGCGGCGCAGGCCTCGCCGTGGTGCGCGCGCAGGATCGCCGCGACGAGGTTCCGCTGCGCGAGGTCCGCGGCCATCGCTTTCTGGCTGGTGCTTGGCGGCGACGGCGCCGCTTTCTGGTGGTGCTTGGCAGCGTCGAGCGCCGCTTTTGGCGGCTCTCGCTCGACAGACGGCAGCGTACGACTCAACGTCGCAGCTTACCAGCAAGGTGACCCGGTGAAAGTAGTCGTCCAGCTCGAGCGCGCGCACGTCCTCTCGACTTCCGGACGTCGCGCTTCCCGCCGGAAGAGCGGGCGCCTCGCCGTACGTCTACTCGAGATGCTGCGGCTGGGCCGAAACCGCCGCGGAAGCGCCGCGGCGCGCCGCGGGCTCGCAATTGAGACGGGACGGTCTGCTGGGTCGACTCGAACCCGGGGCGCGCGGCGTACACCGCGCGGCGTGCGGAATCGGCGGTGCTCGTGCGAGCCGCAGTTTTCCGGTCCACATCGCTTCTTCAATGGAACAAGACGCCTACGGCTTACTTGCCCCTGCCGGGGGGGCTTGCGCATGCCTGCGGCGCGGCGAGAGCGCGCCCTTCGGGCGCGCTCGCGCGTGCTGAGCCACTCATTCCCGTGTCAATGCTTCCCTCTGCACCGCTTGCGCGACGACAGCCATTTAATTTTCGTACGGCGGGGGAACCCCCGCGCACAACTCACGCATATATATATGGATGTCAATGCAACGTTTGGATTGTTGAGCAGTTGGTGGACGGCAAAGACGTCGCCTCGAAGCCTCGGTCGATCAAATTGCGCCTTCCGCAATCACCGCTCGAGATAGTCGACGCAGCTGACAGTCCCTCCTACTGGCCATGTGCCCTAATGAGTCGTCCACGAATACTAGTATCCAGGACAGCAGTTCTTCAAACGGCGACGACGCGCCGGTGCCGCCATCGAGTTCGGCTAACGAGGACGAAGCGGCCGCCAAGGACGCAGCGCCGGCGGCGACGAGTGTAGCGACGGACCGCCCGAGGCGGCGGGCGACGCCCGAGGAGCTGATCTACACGCAGGCGCGCGAACCGCGGCCGTCCGTCCGCCCGCGTCCCGCCGCTCGAACCCGCCGCGCGACGGGAGACTTCCGCGGATCCTCTCGATCGGCCGACCCTCGAGGGCGCGGCGCGTCGCTGCGAGTTCGCAGAGACGGAGCGCCGAGGCGGCGAGAGATACATCACAGCTGAACCCGGCGGCGACGCTCCGGTCCTCCCCCCTCGACTCCGTCGCCGAGCGCCCCCCTGCCGCAGGCTCCGGCGCGACGGCACGCCCGACTACGAGCACCGGTCACTCGACGACGAGAAGAAGAAGTGACACACATACTTATGCTCGCCGCGCGCGCGCCGCCAGTGCCCCCCCTCGAGCGGCGTCCCCGCCGGACGCCCGCGCGCCGCCTCGCCCGAACTTTAAATTTTTCCCGGACTCCGGACCCCCCCGGGTAGAAATTTCGCGGCTGGCCTCTACGCGGCGGGGCGCGCGGGGGCGCGCGCTGGTGTCGCGCAACCTACCGGCAGGACGTGCCGAAGCCGTCGAGGTAGCCGCCCTGGATGTAGCCGAAGCGGTCCTCCTTGGACTTGCGGATCTTCTCGCGCTCGACGTCGCGCATGGCGAGGAGCTCCTCGGCGTGCTCCATGGCCGCGCGGCGCACGGTGGCCTGGTGCTGCTCCTCGTCCTCGTGGGCGAGGCGCAGGAGCTCCGCCTGGCTGTTGTCGTAGTCGACGTCCGCGTCCTTGCCCTCCTCCTTGGCGAGCTTGTTCGCGGCGATGATGGCCTCGTTGGAGGCGATGATGTCGCGGACCTGCTCGCGCGCGAGGCCCTTGAAGTGGTCCGGGCGGTAGCGGTGGTCGCCGAGGCGGCTCTTGGCCGTCGACGTCGTCTCGATGAGCGACGGGTCGTAGAGCCGCGCGGACACCTCCGCGCGCTCGAGCGCGGCGACGTCGGCGGCCGTCCCGGCGAGGCGCGCGGCGCGCTTCGCGGCGTCGTCGACGTTGGCCGCGGCGAGCGCGGCCTTGGTCCGCGCGCGGCGCTCCGCCTCGTCGCGCTCCATGTCGCCCCGCTGCGCGGCGACGAAGGACTCGTAGAGGGCGTAGCGCGCGTCCTCGTCGTGCTCCTCGCCGGCGCGGGCGGCCTTCTCCTCCATCTGCTGGACGAGCCAGGACTGGACCTGCTTGCCCTGGAGCTCCTGGCGGCGGACGTACGCGTGGTCCTCGCCGTCGAATTTCTGCGCCGCGGACATGCCGCACAAGTCCGGCTGCACGGGCGCGCTGATCTTCGCCTCGGCGGCGGCCTGGGCCCTCAGCGTCGCGTGGGCGGCCCACTCGCCCTTGAGCTCGGCCTTGAGCTCCTCGCCCTGCGCCGCCTCGGCGCGCTCGCGCGCCCAGACGACCTCGCGGATGCGGGCCTCGTAGTCGCCGTAGGCCGCCGTCTCCGCGTCCTCGGCGGCGGCGCGCTCCCGCTTCTCCTCGCACTGGGCCGCGAGGAAGTCGCTGTCGATGCCGATGGTCCGCTCGCGGGCGTCGAGCATCTTCTGGACGCGGGCGGCGTTGCGCCGCCGCATGAGCTCGACCTTGGCGTCGATCTCGACGCCGCCGAAGATGTCGCTGTCCTTCTGCGCCATCGCCATCGTGTCCCGCGCGGCGGCTGCTGCCGGGCTGCGCACCTCGCGTCGCGGCGCTGGTGGGCAGTTGTGTATATCTTCAAGGGCCGTTCAACGCCGCGCATAATATCTTTCTTCTAGCCGGGGCGCGCCCTTAGTAGATCGTCGTCTGCCGCTCGCAGGCGACGCCCGTGTGGCCCTTGAAGCACTTGCAGAGGCCGTTGCCGTAGTCGCAGGTGCCCCGATTGGAGCACTCGACGTGGCACTTGTTCCCCCGCTTGCCGACGCCGTGGCCGCCCGCGGCCGTGACGTTGGCGCAGTCCGTCTCGTCGGCGGCGGTCATGGGGTCGTCGTGGGACGGGCAGCGGCGCAGGCTGCAGTCCGCGCCGAAGAACTCGGGCGCCTGCGTCTCGCCCGCGCCGAGCCCCACCGCCCACGAGCTGTCGCAGAGGCAGCCGACGCCGATGGACTCGTCCCAGGTCGTCGACGACGCGGAGCCCTCGTAGCGCACGACGGAGCCGTTCTTCCACTCGCTCCCGGGCTTGGGCGCGGGCGCCTCCGGCGCCGTCACGTTCCAGCCCGAGAAGCCGTCGTTGAGCGGGAGCGCGTCGCTCCGCCGCGCGAGCTCCTTCATGGTCATGCACTGGCCGTGGCCGCTGCACTCGTTGGGGCAGAGCTTGCGCTGGCACGTCGCCCCGGCCCAGGACGCGAAGCAGAGGCACTTGCCCGTGAGGCGGTCGCAGACCTGGGCAGGAAAAGGGTGCGACATTCCCAACTTTGGAGACTGATATCTCGGTCGGTTTCCGCTCGTTTCGGCTGATTTTTGGACGAGCGATCATCTCTCGGAGCGCTCTCGACGCGTGGGTGCTGTTTCCGAAACGCGCGCGCGCGGAACACTCACGTTGAAGCGACCTTGAATCGCTCTTGTCCTGCCCCGGTCGCGGACGCCGTTGTTCGAGCACTCGCGCATCGGGTGCGCCTCGTTCTTCGAGAAGGGCAGGTCGCTCGTCGCGCGGCCCTTGGGGCACGTGCGCAGCATGCAGAGCGCGTCCTTCTCCGTGGCGATGTCGTCGGGGCTGCCCCAGCCCTTGTCGCAGACGCAGGTCACGAAGGGCGACGGGTCGCCGCCGCCGGCGGAGCAGCGGCCGTGGCCGTTGCAATAGTTGAGCATCTGGCAGCCGAAGCAGAAGTCGTCCTCGCAGTCGATCTCCTCCGGCTCCTGGCCCGCCGACAGCGTCCACACGAGCACCGCGACGAAGCGGCGGCCCATCGTCGTCGGGCTGCCGGACCAAAACGTCAACTACACCGTCCTCGTTGAAGTTTTTTACGCGACCCCGACGGGTCGCCGCTCCTGCGATTCCAGGAAGGCGAGGGTCCGCTCCGCGAGCGCGACGCCGGCGGCGGCGCCGTCGCGCTCGGCCGGCGCGACCGCGGCGTCGCGCGCGGCGCGCGCGAGCGCGAGCGCGGCGCGCGCGTCGTCGGCCGTCGCCGCGGCGCGGACCGCGAGGTCCGCGCGGGCGCCGAGCGCGGCGACGGACCGGGGCAGATGCGCCGCGGCGGCGGCGAGGTGGTCCTCCGCGGCGGCCGCGAGGCGCGCCGCGACGCGCGCGCGCGCGGGCCCTCCGCGCCGCGCGGACGCGTCCGCGAGGGCTCGCGCGGCGAGCCCCGCGCTCTTGTGGACTTAGCCCGGCGCGCCGGCGCCGAGCTCGAGGCCCGCGCGCGACGCGCGGAGCGCCGCCGCGCGGCGGCCGCGCCGGTGTGCCTCCGCCGCGCGCGCGTG